TGGAACTGTATGGTTTCAAGTAATCCTTTTAATTTACTTAACCATAAACTATAGAATGCAATCATTTAAATAAATTTTCATTAATGATATTTCCAGTATCATTTATTTTGTAAATAAGTATCAAACATTTGCACACAGGTTTTGCACATATATGCTAATTTGCACCACCAATTTACCTACTGATCATCTTCATTCCAATAGCTTTTATCTCATGGATTTTTTTATGACAGAAACCATAGTAAGCAAATGAAGAAATGTGATATTTTGTTTTTTAACACCAGCATCTTTCAAAAAGATTAAAATGAAACTTCCAAAATTTTTAGTCAAACCATTCAAATATTTGGAGTCAGCCAAATCTAAAAAATGGCTCTGCATGTAAAAATGGCTTTTGCACGTATTTGTAGAACTGTATTCATATAATAGCAGACTGTTCCCACTAAATGTGATTAATGTATGCAAAAGAAAAATTAGCAATACAACTACTTTTTTCTCCTCAAATCTAATAAAAGTTTAAGTATTAAATTCTGGTCTTGCAAAATAGTTCAATCTTTTAAAGAGAGATTATGAAAGCACATTTTAAAAATCCTATGAGCATTTTGTGCTAGAATTTTATAAGCATCTTAAAAATTATATTGTGATCACCTCTGAATAGTCTAAGTTTGATTAACAACAGGCACTTTTTATCTAATTCATTTTTGCAAGAACCTTGTGTGAAATATTATTTTCATTTTGTAAAAAAGAAAACTTGCTTTGATTGGGGCAAAGGTAAGGATTCACCAGGAGTGAGTGAAAACAGGTATTAAAGATAGCTTTGTTCCCATTTTGTACAATAGAAGGAGATAACCCTTTTCTGACCAGATTCCACCAATACCTGGATGAGAAGGAAAAGGCTAGATAGAGTAGGCCTTAAATATGAGGAAGGCTTGGATTTTACTTATTCCATGGAATTTTGGAGATTGCTTAAAAACTATTATCAAGCCTTTTTAAAGGAAGGCTTTTTGAAAACCCCAGTTGGAACGATGGTTTTTTAATATGATGGATGGGTTCCAAAAGAATTGGATTGGGAGGACAGATGGTCTGTTTTTGAGTTAAAATCAGGAATAAGCACCACTATATCTAAGAAACAATCATATGGATGAACCCTCTTTACAAGCAGATGCCTCCTTAGCAAATCATCATCTGCTCAATCAAGGTACAAGTGGTGGTAGAAGAGATGGGTCAACAGTCTTCATTCATGTTCGTCTTACTCTTAAAAAGACAGACAATATAATTCTTCCTGTTCCCCCTTTTAAATTAGTTGTGAGAATTTGTTTTATTTTCCCTCAAGAGAAGGGATTCTTCTATCAAACCACCTTTTTCTTTCTTTTTGGCAACCAGGACACACATTGAATTCTTCAAGAGATAATAACCGGTCTTTTGCAGAGGAATGGTACTGTATGTGCTTTATGTCTGTTCATGCCATGTGATCAAGTCACATTTCAAACTACACATACAAACACAGGAGTCAGTGTTACACTTAAATTAAGATATGATTCTGAATGGCCCAGGAGGAGGAGGATTATGTTCTTTGTCATAATGAGAAAAATAAGAAACACAGGAACAGTGGAAATACAAATCCTTCTTTCGCTTTTCTCACACAAGCACCTAGTTTCTAAAGGTTTAGCTATCGAAACACCTTCATTATTTCATTTGCTTATGTAACTCATCCTGTTTCCTCTACTTTATCATGGTTGAAGGTGATGTATTTAGGCTACAATCTTAACACTAGATCCTTTACAGTAAGAAGTGCGGAATTTTCAGGCTCAAAACATCTGCTTCAGTGACATGCAGTGAGGTTTATAGCTGGTGAGGCACTGACATAGGAGTTTCAAATTTGTTTAGACTTGTGGACTTCAATTCCCAGAATTCCACAGCCAGGGATGCTCAGTTCCGATTTAAAGCGAGAGTATTTTCCCCCCTTGCGAAATAAGTTTTCCTTCATTGTTTTTCTTCTCCCTTCCCCTCCTTCCTTCCTCTCTCCCTCCCTCCCCACTCTCTCAAACAGACACACGCACACAGAGAAGTTGGATCCCTCTCTCTCTCACTCTCTCTCAAACAAACACAAACACAGAAGTTGGATTGGATATATTTTCCAATGGCTTGAAAGCAGCTCCTCTGCCATACCCCCCACCCCATTCCCCTGCTGCCTTCCGATCCGAGCCTTTGATTGCAGGTGGAGCCACGTTGCCTTTTCAAACTTGTAATCAGTGAAGCTGGGCTTATATACTTTTATCCAGCTGTGTGTGTGTGTGTGTGTGTGTGTGTGTGTGTGTGTGTGTGTGTTTGAAAAGGCAACGTGGCTCTACATGCAATCAAACTTTTTGAATTCCTCTCCCCTCCCCACACACACCTTTTCCAGCTGTTTCAGAGAGGATTTCAACTCTGCTCTTGCCTGCCCTCATGAAAAGAAAAAAAAATGTAAAAGGAGAAAGGCATGAGCTCTGAGGTCAGACTGAGCTAGTTGATCCCAGAGCCTCTAAAAACCGGCCTCTACAGGAGGCTAGAGAACCACGTGCCTCATCTACATAAGGAATTTTTCGGCTTTTAACCCTTGCTTAGCTCTGCTCGAGTGATCATAAAGTCAGACTAAATGAGGCACCTTGTTCTCCTGCTGCACCCTGTAGAAGGCACTTTTTTAGAGGCTTTTTTACACAGTTAAGCACTAAGCAGTGTCATCCACTGTGATTCTGGCAGCAACTACCTCAGCCTTTTTCCTTTTATTTATTTTTTCTTTTCATGATGATAGTGGTGAGGCCCTGCCTCCCCTGACTGCACGTCCCTGCTCTGCTTCATGCTTCTTTTACATTCTTGATCTCCATTAGCATAACCAGTTTTAAAAATAAACAAACTGAAATGCAATGACAAGACTTAGGAATGAAAATAATGGTAAGTCCTCTCCCTTTATTCACTCTTCTGTTCTGTCTTCTTATTTTTTCCCCCCTCAGATAGCATGGCGTGTCACCAGAGGCTTGAAAAATGGACTCTGGCCTCTCAATGTGCCATAATATTTCCGGCCTGCCAATAAAATGGATACAGCAAAAAAAAAAAAAAACTTTTCTGGTACCTTGTATGATTTGTGTGGCTCCTTCGCACCCTATTCCTCTCTCGGTAAACCATGTACAGTGTGATGAAGTTTGAAAGAAAAACTGCTATACCTCTAAGGAAGTGGGAGGGAGAGAAAACCTTCACAAGAAAGGAGTGAACCCACTGCTTTCTGGAGTTGTCAAATGAAAAATCTGGTGTCATGGACTTGTGGACAATAATAGCGGCTGCTCAAACTGTCTCGACTGGAGAGAAGAATGAAACACAAATTATGAAACTGCCATCGACTTCTGTGACTTATTAAAGCTGTGCCTGAACATTTATTTCTTTTGCTGGTATCCAATTCTGCTCAAACTCAGAGGAACTTAAGTGTATAAATAAGAAATCATATATAGAATTCTGATGGCTGTTCTTAGCAGGACTTGCTATATAATTTAGAATGCAGGAAGTTCTGCATAATCCATAGATTGGGAGGGAATGCAATTTTTCATATAACCAAACTAAACTACAGACTGCAGTTAAAATTGCTTTTTTAAAGCCAATTGAGATCCGAGGGTTTTTCAGTGGTCACTGTACTATGATTTGCAGCATCCTTCATTGTGGTTCACATGATTGAGGCTCTGGGTTTCAGCAAAAATGAAAGCTTCAGGAGCCAACTCTTTAACATATCTCTTTCTCTTAATGCAACCACAACTTTCTTTAGGCTCATGAAACCTTAACTCCCTCCCCCACAAAATAATTCCTCAATAATGTCATACTTTATAAAGACTAAAACATGGTTAAAAAAACAACTTGTTGGAGTTCTGAGAGAGACTAACAGTGAAAAAAAAGTACAGTCAAATGCAGTCAATTTTTTTATCACTTGCACTTTGCCTTTTGTATGTTTGTATGTTTGTATGTATGTATGTATGTATGTATGTATGTATGTATGTATGTATGTATGCATGAATGTAATTATGAAAATTATTTGCCACCCATCTCATAACCAAAGTTTCTGGGCAGCTTACAACAAAAAATATTATTGCATTAAAAATAATAAAATGCAACGATCATAGAAATACAATGGATAATATCATTAACAAATAAAACCATTACCACCAGATGTGAAAGGAAGGACATACCAGGAGAAGGGGGGGGGGAGTGGGATGAAGTTTTAATTAATCAACCAGGTTCAGTAAGAAGATCTACCACTGGGTCCCCAAGCCACCCGGAAAAGCCAGATCTTAAGGCTTTTAGGAAACAGCAGGCGGGTGGAGTTGATTTCACTTTAGGGGTTTGGATATTCCAGAGGCAGGAGCCATGGCAGAAAAGGTTCTTCTCCTGGATCCTGCCAGCCAAAATTCCTTGGCTGATGGGATCTGCAATATGCTCCCTCTGCAAGCATGGGTGGAGTGGGCCAGTTCCATTGAGGTGATATGGTTCCTCAAGTAGACTAGACTCATGTCATACATTGCTTTAAACAAACACCTTGAATTGCACCTGGAATCACTGTCAAACTGAATAGTGCCTGAAGAAATAACATTGAATTTATGAACAAATAATCAGATTAAGGCAGGCTATTCAACTTTAACCAAAATGATACCTCTAAAAGAATGTACACTGTAAAGATGTAACATAAAACAGGATTTTATTGTCCCAAAGGTGTTTTTTTCAAGAGGCAACTGGACTTCTGGTTTTTCTTTGAAGACATTTCGCTTCTCATCCAAGAAGCTTCTTAAAAAAGCACCTTTGGGACAACCATGACCTGGATGACTAAGGATCTCCATAGGATTATTGTATGTGCTTTTATGCATGCATCCCTGGTTTACTGAAATCAAATTAGATCTGTTAGAGTCCAAGAAACTCATGACAATGTGTCCCCCGTCCCCCCCCTCAAGATGTAAGACTTTGAAGGAAGGTCCCTTTATCTAGGACATTACCTGTGGATGAGGTAGACACTACAGTTGCTGTGGTTGTTGACTGGGGTGGGCTGGTGCTTTCCAACAAGCAGGAACTGTTAGCGTTGTTTTCTTTCTTCACGTACATTTCTGTGGCGCTAGGCAATGGGATGGGGTGGCTAATCCCCAGCTCTTCCTCTTGGGCTTGTTGTCTTCTCAATGCAACCTGGAAAAGGGAAAGTTACACTGTATTTGCACTGTTATCTAAAAAAACAACAGCAGCAAAATTGGGCAGAACACTGCAATTTTCTTTATCTTAACACACAAAGGCTTATGAACGCAAATAAAAACATAATTTTAAAGCTAAAAAAATTAAAAAGAGAAAAAATAAGAGAAAAAATTAAAGAAACCTACAAGGTAAGCATCTACCAATAAGATTTCTAATGTGGCAGCTGTCTAAACTTAGTTAACTGTTATTTTTTTAACCCTTGGCTTTAGTTATTTGGAAACCCCCTGAAAAACAAAATGAGATCCTTCAAATATAAAGAATCAATTTGAACTGTGATTAAATGAACTGTTTTTACTGAAAACCAGAGATGGAGATTTGGATTCTTTTTATTCATGTTTTATAACAAAGGATTTACATCAACTGGAGTGAGTAGGATTAACAGCATCTATCTTTCATAAACAACATAATTTTTCACTTTTATTTCATATGCATGAGTCTTTTGGGCATCTCAGGATGTAAGCCTTATTAAAGCAAAATAGTACAAAGTACTTGATACAGAATTTCTGCAGAAAATGTGAGGTTTTCAAAACATTATTCTGCTCTGGAAAAGAATTAAAATGATGTTTGAAGTTCAGAGCATTCATTTTACAGAAATCTCACTGAAGCCAATCCAGGCAGATCTTTCTTGAGCATTATTTTATAAATTATCTTATGCTGTTGCAATGTAAACAAAGTGAAACAAGACTATATATTCTGGGCCACTTAATTGCACATATGTAGAATATATACAGTATGTCTTTCATTCAGAGTTACCATTAAGAAATGGCATTTTCCCCTAGCATAGATCCTTTAACAGTTACATAATATTGAGCAAGAGTGTGAAAAATGTTTCAAATCTAAACTGTTCTGAACTCAAAAGGTGTCTGTCTTAAATGCAAAACAAACTATTTCAATCATTTGGAAAGCGTTGTTAGCAGAAACAAAATTGTTCAGAGAACAAAATGACTTTCAAAATGACTGGAAGGGCCCGTTTCACACTTGACGTGTTCTAAACACACCAAATTTTGAGAACTAGAAGGATAAATACTGTATGGCTGATTTTCAGACTGGTACAAAATGAAAAAGTAGGTTAACTGATTACAAAGAAGCAGAATGCAGAAACAGAGGCGGATTAACACCATAGCTAAAGGAAGCAAAAACAGGCATACAAATATCATTAAACCAAAACACATTTTAATATTTAATGCACCAGGAAGGAAAACATTAATAACCAAGCCAACTGATACCAATTCAATGGAACAGTAGAATGTTTGCATCTTTTAAGTTTGGATCCGCTGAAGGGGTAAGTTTTTTTATCTAAGAAATCATTTTTTTCAAGCCAAGACATTCCAGATACTATAATGTGCTATAATTTCTATAACCCCAACAGTGTTGTAGCTGGGGATGATGGGTGTTGAAGTTCAAGGCATCAGATTCTACAAGAAAAATTTGATCCTTACACTATCATACAACTAAGAAGTTACAACTTTATTGCAACCAACAGGTACAAAATGATTGGCAATGTTTTTGGAATTAAACATTTCTGAAACAGAAATATTCCATGGCAACTAGGGTAGTGCTAGGCTGCAAAAAAATATTTTTGTCTTTGCTGCCATCTAGTTGTCATTCATATTTTTGCAGTCCAGATCTGCTAACCTTACTACAATTCCAATTTTCACACCTAGTGCTGAAGTTTGCAAATTATATAGCACCAGGTCAGTAAGATACAGGCTGTTTGCTGATATCACACAATTCTAACCAGCATGTATTTACAACGGTTGCAAGGTCCTGTGGTCATGAGATTGCCATTTGTAACTTTCCCAAGGAGCTTCCAACAAGTAAAGTTAATGGAGCAGCCAGATATACTTAAATAAGTATATTTAGTGTAATATGTATTCTTAAATAAGTATACATAAGTGTAATAGGATTAATGATTATGATGATTAACAACCATGGGAAAAAGTTTGTAAAATTGGGCACAATTCACTTAACAGCTGCACTGCTGTTGATGGAAGTTCTGGCCCCTACTGTAGTCATAAATTGAGGACTACCTGTATGGATACTACCCTTGGATTACACAGGCTAAAATTCAATCCTTTCTTCAAATGGTAAATCTGATCATTCTTTGCCCAGACAGCTTTGAAGCAATACGGAAGAGATTTGCTATTGTCTTATTAGGTTTTTTCCCCAGGTTTAGCCTATAGCATTCCAATTTCTGTTGAGCTCCCTTCCAAGTATTAACCAGATCCATTTCAATTTAGCCTGGAAGTGAACGAATACACATACAGAACCATTCATTTAATAACTTCTCCCTATCTTTTATCTGTAAGACTAAAATTCCCCAAAAGGCTTGTGTTTACAATGACTGATGAAAGCTGTTGTCCATAACATTTAGACAGCATCACTTTGGGAAAGCCAAATTAGACACCAAGTTTTTACACTAAACTCTCATATTTAAGTAATGAGACTAAATCTGAAAAAAAAAAAGACTTATGACTAGTTTTCACTTATGATGGTTGCAGCAACCCATGATCAAAATTCGGGCACTTGTCAGCTGGCATGTATTTCTGACAGTTAGACTGCCTCAGTATCATATATTCACCATTTGCAACCATCCCACCCAACCTCTGACAGTCAATGAGGGAAACCAGAGTTACTTAAAAAGTAAAGTGATTCACTTAACAACTGTGGCAAAAAAAAATCGTAAACACACAATGCACTTCTCTTGCTTAGAAATGAAAATTTGCCGCTCTATTGTGGTCGAGGACTACCTGTATTTAAATGAACATGCCAGTGAAACAATAAAAGCTGGCAAAAGCTAAAATATGAGGTTATAATTCAGACACATATTATAAAACCCTACTCACAGATAGTCTTTTTTATATATAAATGATTGCTTAACAGAACCAGAATGTCTTCTGTTAGCAAACATTTTTTTTTAGTGATGTAAACTGAATTGTTGAAGAACTTTCTAAAGTCCCATCCCATTTGTGTTTTACAGCAACATCAGTGTGTCTCTACTACCAGGGGTGAAATTCAGCAGGTTCTGGAGAATCCATAGCGGAAATTTTGAGTAGTTCAGAGAACTGGCAAATACCACCTCTGGCTGGCCCCAGAGTGGGGTGAGAATGGATATTTTGCAATATCCTTCCCCCAGGAGTGGGGAGGAAATGGGGATTTTGCAGTATCCTTCCCCTGGAATGCGGTGGGAATGGAGATTTTGTAGTATTCACTGCCACACCCACCAAGCCACGCTCACAGAACAGGTAGTAAAAAGTTTTGAATTTCACATTGTCTACTACCCAAATTTCTTCCCTGATCATCTGGTAGCCGCAGCCCATGATTTAAACATCTGTATGTCATTATTTCCATGTATCTGTTAGCCAAAACCCAAGAATGACACATGATTCTTCTACACAGAGTTCTTTATTGTTTTCATATCTATACAGACAAATTCTTGTCAAACTGAGGACTTTATTATCTATATCTGCAATATACTATGTAAACTATTAGAGGGGGGGCTGTCTTCACGCTCTTTCGCATGTAACATCCAGTCTGAGTTGACTCTTACTCCTCTAGACTGAACCCCCTTCCCTCCTGGGGAGCCTCCTTACTACATTCCATCACTGTATCAGAATGAAAAGAGTTTTACCCACTGTTCCATCATAGTATGAAGGCAGAATTTGCAAATTCTGGCACCCATTCTTCATGGTGCTGAGGTTAGGTGATCAGCTGCAGTGTATTTGGGGATTCACTGTTTGTGTCCCTGCATGACCTCTCCTCTCTGGTCACTGGTCCGTCTCTTTGGCTGCCCCTTCTTATCTGTCACTATGAAGCTGACAGTGACCCTTCCACAGTAATGAAAACATCTTATAATATAAAAATTACAAATGAAATCAAAACCAATATTTTAAAATGATTCTTAGAAGAACAGCAAATTAGCACTATTGACTGCTAGTTCATTTAAGCTCACAGCTAAAATCATTTCCTAATGGCAATGTACATTTTACTTGCAAACATTCTTAAGGTCACCATTATTTTTTTACTTATGAACAAAACTCCTTAGAAATACAGAATTTTAAAATTACTGTACAGCTTTACCTTCATTCTATACTCCCTGTCTTTACAAGCAATTCCCATTTAAAAGATCTTCCTAACCTTGCTGGAGCGACTCCTTGAGCCTTTGATTACTTTTCTGTTGCATTTGTAGAAAAAGGTGTAATTTATTAAATTTTTATCTCATCTTTATTACTTTGTAAGTAATTCAATGTTCCTAAAACTCATTCCTCTTCTTATTTTCTCCAGAACAAAAATCCTGTGATGTGGAGTGGGTCGATAGAGTACGACTGGCCCAAAGTCACATTACACAATTGTGCATAATGGCATCAGAGTATATGCTTAGATAACCAGATATTATTCCGAGCTGTTGAGACACCAATCACAAAGGCTGAAGCACTTTAGTCATAACAGATGTCATGGAAAAAGCTAAGGGCTAGTGATGCAATCAGCTAATATTAAGATAGTATAATTTTGTAATGATATAAGAAAGGTGAATAGGCACTGCACCATTGTTGGAACAATCCTTTCCATCAGTAGGATCAATGTTATATTAATAGTAAAAAATACAGTTGTTTCCTTTGGAGTGTTTGAAAGAAACCGCTTAGGTTTAAAGGAGATGACTACTCTGCAGAACAAAGTCTTTCAGAAAGACAAAATTTGTTCATATTTACTTAAAACAATCAACTATGGGAGCAACTTTAATGATAAAAGCAAATCAGCGCAAATCAGCATAATAATTACTGAGTTAGTAGTACAGGAAATTTTTGTAGAACAAACAGTAATGTTGTCTTGTAAGTATAAATGCATGTTGTTTCTGTGCCAATTTCTTTTTAAAAAATGAGTATCCAGATAAGCCAAAGAATTGGGCACTGATGGTCACACAATGGAATGGCATTCTACCTTTGACTTGCCAAACTGGCATTCTTGAGATGTTTTGGACTACAATTCCCAGCACATCTGGAGATTACTAAACTGTGGGAGGCTAAATTGAAAAAAAAAACTGTTGAAAGATTGTGACAACACTCTTTTCAAAGTATTCAGAAATGGCCTACAGATTTTTTTTTTAGTTTACAATTTTTGTAACCTTTAAAATGTTGATAATTGAAAATAATTATTCCAATTTCTCATTATTCAAGCTAAACAGTCTGAATGGGGAAAAATTTAAAAATACCTTAATGTACAGTTTTCTAACAGGAAGAATTTTTAATGCAATGATTTTGCAACTCAAAATGCTGAATACGTTATTTTGCAAAAAAAAAAAAAGTTTTTCACTCACTGAATTTTAAACATTGTAAATGAAAACAAAGACATGAACATGTTAATACTTGTGTGGTTACTAATATTAAAATTTGATGTCACTGATTAAAAACTAAACTAATGAGTCTTTCACTAACCTAGTTAGGATCTAGGATGTAGAACCTACCACTCTTCCATTACCTTAATAAGCATTATTTCCACACTCAAAATCAGTCTCACACTCAAAATCAGTCTCACACTTACAAATGCTTTCAAATGCAACGATGCAATTTGCATTATTCATTGCAGGATTCCTTTTCATGGCATGTGTTTTTCATTTTAGAGGCGTATTCTACATATAACAAGCATTATTACTTGCAAAACAATCCTAGAATATTAGGAAGCCGTGCGCTATCTGAAACTAATGCCAAGAAAAGCGGGGGGGGGTATGAAAATAGACAATGATTGAATTCCATATTATTTGGACAATAAAAAGAATATGCAGTGTTTTGCTGAAAGCCAGAACAGTACTTGGGCGATGCGGGACAAACTTTTCTCCTCTCCCAATGTATCCTCAACTCCGGCAACGAAGTCAAGGGTTCCTGCAGAAAAAGCATCCGGGAGTTTGTTTTTTTTACACCGGTCTAGCCTATCCAATTCTTCGGGGCAGAGGTTTTGGGGGATGAGGCTTAACCTTACTTTCCAACCTGCATCACTGAGCGGCAGTAAGGCCGCCCTGTGCTTTTTCTGCCCTAGAGCCGGTTCCCCGCCATTTCTTTCCTTGCTTAACCCTCCGGCTGCTCACCTGGGCGGCCATCACCCGTTGCCTCTCGGCGATCAAGCTGCATTTTTTACACTGGCAATCTCTCCACATGCAGAACCGCTTGTGGCCCTTCAGAGGCGAGGAGTAGCCGTGGTTCCTACAGCGGGCGCACTTGGGGAGCCGCGGGGACTTTTTCCCCGCGGCGGTGGCGGCCCCAGCAGGGCCCTGGGTTAAACCCCCGGAGTTGCCGCCACCTCCGGCGGCCGCCAGCCCGGCAGCTTTCCCAAAAGGGCCCGTTTTGGTCCCCTGGGCGTGATGCTCCGACGAAGCCGACGGCTTGCTGAAGGAGGTCTCGTTGGGCATGGCGCCTTTCCGAGCCGTTAAGTGCAAAGAATGGCTCGGCTTTTCAAGGAAGGGCTTGCTTTTTAACCGGAGCCTGAAAAGGACGGGCGAGGGTCCCCGGAGGAGGCAGCTCGCCTTGGCCTGCAAAAGCGGTTGCTTTTTGCTCGGATTGGGATGCAGCCTCTGGAGAAGCCGGCTGGCAGGTGGCAGCAAAAGCCGTGCAAAGTTAGCAGCCCACCTCGTCACTTTGCAAAGACGCGCGGGCCAAATGAGGAACTCGCTGAACTTTTTGCTATTTGTTTCAAGGTATATTTCCAGAGCCCAGACCCGCTCCCGGGCGCTTTAGGCTCCACCCCCAAGGCCCTCCAGCCGCCTCCTGCAAGCCTGACCCCCGCCCCGCACCCCACCGGCTAGGCCCAATCTATGAGGTTCCTTGCAGAGAGATGCCTGCAAGGCAACGGCCTTTGGCACGGAAGCTTCTCCTTCGGGTTACAACCCACTTGCAAAGGTCTATGGAGATTCTCAATCATCCAGCCAAGACGTGGTTGTCCCAAAGATGCTTTTTTCCAAAAGCCAACTGGACTTTCTAGGTTTTTTCTTTGAAAACCTTCGCTTCTCATCCAAGAACTGAAGAAGCTTCTTGGATGACATGCAAACGTTTTCGAAGAAGAAAAAAAAACACCCCCCCAAAAAATCCAGTTGCCTTTTGGGGAAAAAAAGACACCTTTGGATGCAGTATTTGAAACTTAGTGGCAGAGTTCATAAAATAACGGGGTTAGTCTTCAAGACGCCACCAAACTGTTCGCTGGCTTCAATAGGGAATGTTTCCACCGCCCCGCTCAACGCGGCTGATTCCCAACGATGGGTGCAAAGCGAGGCAAGTTGCCGGCGCGCGCAAATCCGAGCCGCGCTCGCGCAAGGCCGCTGCAGCGCAGGCTGGATTTCTGCAACGCGCCCCTCTCCCGGCAACAAGGGGGCCACAAGTCGGTTTGTTTGGCACGGGGGGCAAATGGAATGGGTGGCGTTGATAATTTGTAATGGCGGGGCAGGGTGGGGAGGCCGAGACGCAAAAATGACATGTTTTTAATCTCGTTGTTTTGGCTCTTTTCGCGGAACCTCGTTTGTCCCCGGTTTCTTTGCAAGCCTTTTCTTGCGTTCGTTCCCAGAGAACTTTGGAGGTTTGCAGCGTTGGCGAACGCGGGCGCGTATAATTGGAAATAAGTCTTCGTAGGGGGACTTAATTTCGTCCTTGGGAAAGGTGGGGGGGATGGGGGACAGAGGATCAGCACAAATATGTCTCGAGCCAGACGATTTATGGGGAACAGCTGCTTCCAGACCTTACTTCCACTTCATGAGGATGAAGAGAAGTGGGAGATTTCCGCCCAATTTCACATCTTTAGTCTGGCTGATTAACGGCTAAAGCCCACCACCTCCCTGGAAAATTCAAGGTTTCTCTTCGGTCGGCGTTTTGAGAAATAGTTCTGCAACGGCTGTAAATTTGAATAGTAATTCTTAAATATATGGACGTTTCGTTCAAAGGCTCTGAGGGACAAACACTTTTTCTCTTCCAGAAAGCAGAGTGTTTATTAAGGATGTCCGTTATCAATTGCTGATTGACAGTTTCTCCCCTAGAGGAAAACTTGTTAAATACTTCTCACCCGCCCTATAAGATACTGAATATGATAGTGGAATGAAAACAAAATACAAACAGTTCAATGTATATGATTCTGACATTGTTACTTAAGAGGTAAATGCAAAATACAATTTAAGTAACACAATAGGTATTTCATGTGAAACACCTGAACAGAAATGGGAATTTGTGGATCTTTAGGGGAGGGGAGACAGCTAGAGGTAAAATTTCTAATTCAAACCCGGGTTGAAGAATAAAATGGTAATTCCCACCACAGAACAAAGATTATTGCTGCTGGGATAACATTCCAGGTTTGCCTGAAGAATCCCTACCCCAAAATTATAACAGCAAAACCTACTTTATCTAAGTTGACAGTGAAACAAAATGAACCAGTATATGTGCTGTCAATAGAAAAACGCTACTTTCTCAATCTTTTTCCAGTGTATATAAATTAGGACAATCCACCTAGTTAGAGGAATCCCCCTCAACCAGGTCATGTCAGGGCCAAATTGATTATGAAGACAACTCTACCATTGTTATGCTTTTTTTTTATTAAAAATGTACAGACCTTTATGCCCAATTGCCAATGACAGAATATGATGCAAGCAATCAGATTGATTGTCCAAAATGGGGGCCAGAGGGAAAAATTCGGTCCCCAAAGAAACTGAAAGACCAGATTGAGAGGTCAAGACATCTGCTAGGCTTTGATCTAATTTGTACATTACTTATTAGTTTTTTTATGTGACATGATAGGTCAAGATAATGGATCAATACGAAGGTATGTGCCACAGAAAAACATCTTGCAGAAATGGACACTGCGAATAATATGTTTTATTAATCAGACTGAGATATATTGTGTTGTCTGAACTGATTCGAAGGGTATAAACCCCTGGTTTAGAATTGCAGAAACTAGTAATCAAATCTGTCACCAGCCTTGTTTTCGGATTTTAATTTCTGTATGCATTTTTGTATATTCAGAACTTATTAACTGCCCTGAACTTAGATAAAACAAGAGCCTGATCTTGTTGAGCCTTTCATAATATGGAACCAAACCTTTGTCAATGAACAGAATCAACTGCCCTAAACTCATGTGCAGCCATAAGGTATGCTGGTTACATATGAAAGTCTGCTTGATGAGGGCTTAGTTTACTTAATAACACTATGTAAACTAAGGCCTGTAGTGGCAAAGGGAACCTGTAGGGAGGCAGGCTATGAAATATTATGGGAAAATGGCTTCTGGTGTGTTATTAGCTGTTGAGATGGCTTTTGTAAACAAGACACTTCAATTGTGTTTTTTTCATTAAAATAAATCATTTGGCTATATAAGAAATTGTAGGTTACTTAGGATAAATACATTTGCTTGTCAAAGTGCCTACATAAACAGCCTCTTCCCTCCGTAAAGAGGCACTGGGATGTGACTAGAGGATCCCATGACAGTCAGCTGTGTTGTTCTTGGGAATAACCAGCAGGACTTCATAAAGATGGCTGGTACCCCCCAGACCAAGAATTACAAGCAAAAATATGTTCTGAACAGGATGTTAGGCTATTCCACCTGACACTAGAGAACACTGACATTAGAGAACGTTACTGAGAAGCTGAGGTTGCAATTGTTTTCATGTTTACAATGCAAGTGACATGGTTACAGACACAGCATGAAAGTCTATAAATGTTAACCATAAGTTAACTGTCATAGACACTTTTAGTCCAGTAGTCCAGGATCTGAAAATAAATCCCTCATATAATTGTGGGAAAATCACTATTTTCTATAAGATTGCTAAGAACAGTGTTAAGATAATTTTAAGCATACATTTTGTAAGGATAAAGCACTTAAGATGCAAATACCATGTTTCTCCAAAAATAAGACCCTGTCTTATTTTCTTTTGGGCTTGAAGTACCCAGGCTTATTTTTGGGGAGGTCTTGTTTTTTTTAAGTGCAGGAGGCAGCAAGTGCAGGGCCCAACGGGAACGGAAGCGCAGCTACCGCTGGCCCCACCCTCTCCATCCCATTGTCTACTTGTTCATGGCTTCAGTGGGCCAAGCTCTTGTCATGCCCTATTCTCCACTCATCTTGCCTGCTGGCCCAGCTGCTGTTGGGACACACCTCGGCTGTGGTGCCTTGCAGGGGCTCTTCACCCTCCTGGCAGGGTGGGTGGATGTTGGGGCGCGCCAAGAGCTTGGTGTCAATGTCCAAGAGTCGGAGTTGCCACATATCACGGAGGGGGGAGGGGGCACACAGTTGGGTGTCAGGTATATTGGGTGCTGTAATGAACTCACACTGGTAGAGGTTCAGGAGAGAGACAGCTTTAGCCGGATCAGAGGCCATGAATCCAGGCTTGCTGGAGCCTGCAGAGAGCCATGCCTTCATAATAAGCTGGCTGCCAGAAGCCAGTGATGCTGGCTAGAAACATTTTTGTTTTTGTACTCACTGCATGCTGAGCCAAGTCCAGTAAATATTTCTGTTGAATCCCTCAACGTGGTCTCTCTGCTGGCCAAACTTGGAACGGTGACACTTGGCCCCAATTGAGGCCGTGGCCAATGAAACCAGAATAGACACTACCATCCAACAGAAAAGTAATTATCCAAAAATCAGAACTAGATCACATTGGAACCGGTAAGATAAGCAGAGAAAATAGGTTGGATCAAGCCAAGGTTGTGGAGAAATGCATTCCAGAAAATCTGCCCAATGAATCTTAAAGATCAGAATTGTGCAAGTCTCAGTATTTCCTCTGACACTGTGGAACCCAAAGTTGCACATGGGGCAAGCAGAGTGAGAAAAGTATTAGTGTTTTTTAATTTTAGTGTTGGAGAAGGAGATGCCTGAGAACATATTACCATAGATGGCAAAAAATCCCCAAACCAATGGATCATTGAATGAATCAACCCAGAGTTCTGACCTGAGGCACAAATGTCCAGGCTCAAATTAGGCTATTCAGATATGGTGGGGGTGTCAGACTCCATTTCATTGAGGCCTGCATCAAGGTTGTGTTTGACCTTGGAGGCCTGGGGGTGGGCATGGTCATGGTGGACATGACCAACTCGACATCAGTCATGTCATAGGCATCTGTGATTGCCAAGTGCTAAGATTCCCTGAGATCTCCCATCATTCATTATAATCCTCCCTTCTCTTCTTTTTCCTTTCTTCTCCTTTCTTCCTTCCCCTCTATTTATTTTTCCTTTCTTGCTCTATTCCCATCTTTCCTTCTTTTTTGTCTTTCCCTTTCTCTTTTCAATCCTTTCTCGCATGCTCAAATACAAAAGAGTAAACATTTCTCTTTTTGTTTTGTTTTTAGTTTGTTTTACTAGACTTCTGCCAATGAAAACGGGGCTCGGGGTGTGTGTGTGCAGGCCCCCAAGCTTCCTTTTCACTGGCAGAGGCACCGCGGGCCAGTCT